AAAGTGGTTTAGCAGAAAGTTATTATATTAGGTAGCATAGTATTTTAAAAATGTGTGTCTGTGGGTTTTAATATTCTGGAAAAATGTTGGGTTGTAGGGTTTTGTTTTGTTAACAGTTTTATTGGCATGATTCATGTACAATTCAATGGTTTGAATATATTAAAAGGAGTTGTGCAATCATTACCACAATTTTAGAACATTTTGTTCATTCTTTTATCCATTATTATTAACTCCCCATTATCTCCCAAACTACCCTGCCATAACCCTATTCAAACCAAACCAAACTTACTGCCATCCTGTGAATACTGACTCATAATGACCCTATAGGACCAGTAGAACTGCCCCTGTGAGTTTCCTAGACAGAGTATAAAGCCTCATCTTTCTCAAGCCATAACCTTAAGGTGCTATTACTCTAGTTATTGTCTCTCTAGATTTACTTATCCTGAATTTAATATAAAGAAAATCATACAAAAACTCCATCAATCTCAACAAAATACAATACAGAAAAACCTCAATTTGAGGGAAAGCACAAGATAATAGAAACTAAAACAAATTAAAAATGTGTTAAAAGGGAAAACAAATGTACTTTGAGGGCAAGACTATTTACATCCCTAGTTTGAGGGAGTTCATCGGAGGATTAATCTGAGGAAGGACCCTGAAAATGGACTTTGATCCTTCAGTTATCTATAGCCTTCTCCAAACTGGGTGCTCAGAATTAAAGCTCTAATACAATTCCCTCCTCTGATCTTAGATTTTATTGTTTATGATCCTTGGATCTCACGGGCTGGTTGACTCTTCTGTGTTAACTTTAACTGACAACTCACTTAACTGACTGCTTGTTTTTTTTGTTGTTTGTTTGTTTTCAAACCAACAGCCTTACAGTGTTTATTGTTAGACTTGACGAGGGAGCAAAAAACCAAGGAATAAATCAGATTTGCCAATAGAAGTTCAACTGATCAGATGGGGACAAAAGTCTTAATGCAACACAACATGATTTGAGACTGGGAAAATGTGGTCATGCGTGCCATCCCTCAGGGGACTCCTTACAGACCCAGCTTGGTTCTTCTCCAATGTCTTCTCTTGGAGTTGTACCTGATTTTATTACCAGTTTTCATTCAAATCCACTGTGGAATGGGCCAATTCTGCTTCTGTTTCTTGGCCGGGAAGCTCTTGATCCTGAAAGTCTTATGAGATGACATGGTGAAGTTGGAGTAACAGCACACTCAGGATGGCAGAGAAACTGAGAGAGGGGAGAAGAGCTGTTTTTTTGTTTAAAAAAAAAATCACTTTATTGGGGGCTCGTACAATTCTTTTTTTTTGCTCATACAATTCTTATCACAATCCATACATCCATACATTGTGTCAAGCACATTTGTACATTTGTTGCCATCATCATTCTCAAAACATTTGCTTTCTACTTGAGTCCTTGGTATCAGCTCCTCATTTTTTCACCTCCCTCCTTGCTTCCCGCTCTCTCATGAACCCTTGATAATTTATAAATTATTATTATTTTGTCATATCTTACACTGTCTGACGTCTCCCTTCACCCACTTTTCTGTTGTCCATCCCCCAGGGAGGAGGTTATATGTAGATCCTTGTAATTGGTTCCCCCTTTCTACCCCACCTTCCCTGCACCCTCCAGGTACCGCCACTCTCACCACTGGTCCTGAAGGGGTCATCTGTCCTGGATTCCCTGTGTTTCCGGTTCCTATCTGTACCAATATACATCCTCTGGTCTAGCCAGATTTGTAAGGTAGAATTGGGATCATGATAGTGGGGAAGGAAGCATTTAATTAAGAACTAGAGGAAAGTTGTATGTTTCATTGTTGCTACCCTGCACCCTGACTGGCTCGTCTCCTCCCCGCTATCCTTCTGTAAGGGGATGTCCAGTTGCCTACAGATGGGCTTTGGGTCTCCACTCTGCACTCACCCTCATTTACAATGATAGGATTTTATGTTCTTTGATGCCTGATAGGTCTCCACTCTGCACTCACCCTCAGTTACAATGATAGGATTTTTTGTTCTTTGATGCCAGATAACCTGACCCCTTTGACATCTCGTGGTCACACAGGCTGGTGTGCTTCTTCCATGTGGGTGTTGATTGACTGCTTGATGATTTTTGTTGTTGTGTTTTGTTTATTTTTTTTGACTGCTTGTTTTAAAACATGCATTAAGAACTCAGGCATTATTCTTTGGGATAGCTGAACACCATCTGATTTCTTCACCACATTTTGCTGTAGCACCCAAATCTTCAGTGATCACTTCATGAGGGCACGTATTGTGCAGGGCCACATCGCAAAAACTAATTGTTTTTGGATTAGGATTTATGATTCATGTGCTCAAAATACATTTGTATACTGAAAATTTATACATTTGTGGCCCACTTTAGACTCAGCATTATCAGGTTAATGAGACTTTAAGTAAATTCCATGAGACATTTGGTAATTCTAATTGTATCATCTATCTGGCCAATGGTAAAGCTTTTAACTTACTGCTGAGAGAAGGAAAAGGAGACATCTAGGAAATGTTTTTAGGCTAAAGGACTCAGCATCTTCACTTGCACAGGTTAAAACTTAGTAACCGAAAACTGTTAAAGAAACAGTAAGGGTTAGAGACAAGGTAAAAATTTCATCCGCTCATTCATTAAGGCAAAACTATATCTGCAGGACTAAGATAGGACACTCACACAATGAAAATATGAAAACAGAAAGTAAATTTAGTTGCCAGTTATTGGGCAACCTCAAAAACAAGAGATGTGAACCAAAGTCCACTGACTTTCAAATCCCTGACTTTGGGATAGCAGCCCCCTGCCTCTTTTCACACTAAGGTATTTAAGCTGTATGTCCAAAGGCATATTCCAATTCCTTTCATCTGTATCAGGTGTGTTTAAAGTAAAGTCCTATACTGAAGCTTCCAAATCAAATTCTTGTGGGATCTATGAAGAATGTTGTCCACCTTGAAATGCACTAGAATATGCGACAAAAAGCAAGCCAAGTGTGAAAATAGCAAGTTTATTGTAGTCTTATACTGTCAGTTATTCAGCAACCAAAGCTGTAGTGGTTGTTTTTGACCAGCATGAAGCCATCTTCTTTTGATAGCTCTTTCTACAGATAATAATTTCCATTTTGAAGAAAACTTTATTGACAAACTACCCATTCATGCTAGGAACAGCCATAATAAGAACTCACTAAATTGCATTTCTCCTTTTAAGGGAGTACAATAGATCTTGGTGTGTTAAAGGGATGTTATCACCTCATCTTTGGAACCTAGTGCACACCAAGAAAACAAACTCCAAAACCAAAACAAAACCCATTGCCTTCAAGTCTTTAAATTCAGTGCTTAGACTCGCCACTTGCTGACAAATGTAGGCCACATTTACATAAACCAAGTGGACCCACAGTTTGCCATCCATGAAAGGGAAATAATACAGTAGCCATGCCATGGGATTGCTGTAAGAGATCAGACACAGCTCAACATCACTGTTGCAACCCCTGAATGTTGACATGAAAGAGAGCCGGAGGCCTGAATGAATGCCTGAGTGACAACAGTTTAACTAATGCTAAGGCTCCTGGCTTAGGAGAAGATCAAATCACCTCTTCAAAAAGATAGACAAGAATCCACTTTCCTAAACAAGCTCCTGGGCAGAGCTGCAAGCCAATAAGGTAGATTTTGATTGCAGGTACCAACCATCTTGCTTATTTTTCTTCTTTGAGAGAAAAAAACTTTATATGGAAGCTCATTGCAAGTTTTCCATGGATCATTTGAGTACCATGTTCAAGTACTCGCTGCCGTTGAGTCAATGCTCACTCATAGTGACCCCCTGTGGGCTTGCAGGATGTAACTGCTTACCAGAGTAGAAAGCCCAGTCTTTCTCCTGTGATGCTGCTGGTAGTTTTGAACTACCGACCATTTGGATTGCAGCCAAACACATAGCCACTGCACCAGCAGGAGCTCCTGTATTTTCAAGTAGCACATACATTTTTAAGCTTTCAACATTGTGACAACTTCTCTACTTCACACAAGAAAATGAGGTACACTAATAGTGTGGCTTGCTCAAGCACAAGATTTTAGAGAAAGGCTCATTTTAAGACCTTTTATAGTATAATATGGATCCCGTATTTTTCTCACACACTGTGCCCATGTAAACAGCACACACATGCATAGCTTAGACAAGAAAGCAAGACACAAGGGAGTTTCCCAGTTTGCAAAAGAATCCCATACCACACCTGTGTTATCTGTTTTTTAAAATGCAGTAGTATGGTACAGTGTGGAAACTATAGTGAAACTCACAGAGGAGCTAGGTTTTTTTTTTACAACAGCTTTATTATGTTTTAATTCACACATCAGCATTCACCCTTTCAAAGCATACAGTTTCTTGATTTTTTTTCCTTTTCAGGATAACAGAGTTTTATAACCATTAGTACTCTAATTTTACATCATCATTCCAAAAAGAAATCGTATATCAAATATTATTTAAAATTTTTAAAATTAAAAAGAAGTCCTATATCTAAATTGGGACTTTTGATGGCCAGAGACCAAATTCCCACACAGAGACCGAAAGCTACGTTGTATATCATAACAGGAAAGAGTTGTGGTGGTGCAGAGGCTCAGCGCTTGGCTGGTAAACAGAAGTTAGGCCCTTTGAACCCACCCAGCAGCTGTTTGGGGTACAGACCCAGTAATCTGCTCCTGTAGACGCACAGCTTAGAAAACCGCATGGAGCAGTTCTGTTCGGTCACACCGGGCTGCTTCCTGTGAATCCCAACGGACACAGTGGCACTACACACCGCATCACAGTCAGGACGAGTAACACATTGCAGGGTTATTTCATGCTTATGTAAAAAATTGCCAATGTTTCCCAGTTAATCAAACAGTTTTGCTTTGTCTTGTTCTCCCCTGGGGTGAAGGGGCTGCTGCCTTTGCACTTGTGTTGGTAGGAGTGGTGATTCTGGAAAGGCTCTGTTACGGTCACTGTCTAAGGCCATGCTGTTGGTTTGCAGGGCGCTAGCTGACATGAATAATGATGGAAGAATGGATCAAGTGGAGTTTTCCATCGCCATGAAACTTATCAAATTGAAGCTACAAGGCTATCAGCTCCCCTCTGCACTTCCCCCTGTCATGAAACAGCAGCCAGTTGCTATTTCTACTGCACCAGCATTTGGTAAGTCTGAAAATGAATTGGTTACTATACTTCCTTGTATATTAAAAAAAAAAAAAAGTACACACACACCCTTGCTAGTTTATATAACATTGTGAAAAGCTAGGTAGTAAATATGTCTGAAAAAAGCTGCTGTGTGTGAGGGTAATGCTGGAGAAAGGGGCGTGCTCACATTCTAGCCCCCAGACGAAGGTAGTACCCATGACGTCTAAGGGACGCATACTCTGTGTCAGAGGAGCAAATATGCAGCATGCTGCTGCAGCTTCCGTTTTTCTGACTGTTAACTGGTTTCTTGACCCTTCACATTGCTAGGAACTTCTTTGTGCGTTTCTATTTTCACAGCATCTTTATTTCTCCTTAGATATGTAACTGAATTTTGTCAGTCAGTGGGTTAAGGCAATTGATGTCATTAGAATATAGTAGAATTAAAAATAAGTTTTTATCCCAGGTAAAAGCCTTATGCTATAACAAATTCTCTCAACTAGACATTAATAAAAATAAGTTCCTCAGTGACTAGTTGACTCCCTAAAGACACTAACAGTTCTGATTTCTTCTTCTTTGATCTTCAATTGTTTAGATTGGTTTGAAGACTTTATTTTTATTATATTTTTTTTAGGGCTTTAACATATTTTATCAAAAGATTCTTTTATTGGGGGCTCTTACAACTCTTATTAGAGCCCATAGATCAATACCAGGGGTTTTAAATATATTTTAGAGATTAGATCCTTGTCACAAATGTCATTGACAGTTTTCACCCCCTAGTCTGTGGGTTTTCTTTTCACTCTCTTTTTTAAAAATCATTTTATTAGGGGCTCATACAACTCTTATCACACATCAATTGTATAAAGCGCATTTGTACATTCATTGCCCTCATCATTCTCAAAACATTTCCTCTTCACTTAAGCCCCCGGCATTAGGTCTTTATTTTCCCCCTCCCTCCCCACTCTCCCCTCCCTCATGAGACCTTGATCATTTATAAATTATTATTTTGTCATATCTTGCCCTGTCCGATGTCTCCCTTCACCCACTTTTCTGTTGTCTGTCCCCCAGGGAGGAGGTCACATATAGTTCCTTGTAATCAGTTCCCTCTTTCCAACCCACTTTCCCTCTACCCTCCCTGTTTCACCACTCACGCCACTGGTCCTGTAGGGCTCATCTGCCCTGGATTCCCTGGATTTCCAGTTCCTTTCTGTACCAGTGTACATCCTCTGGTCTAGCCAGACTTGCAAGGTCGAATTCGAGTCATGATAGTGGGAGCGGGGAGGAAACATTTAGGAACTAGAGGAGTGTTGTATTTTTCATCGTTGTTGCATCGCACCCTAACTGGCTCATCTCCTCCCCGAGACCCTTCTGCAAGGGGATCTCCAGTGGCCTACTAATGGGCTTTGGGTCTCCACTCCGCACTCACCCCATCATTCACTATGTTAAGATTTTTTGTTCTGATGATGCCTTATACCTGATCCCTTCGACACCTCATGGTTGCATAGGCTGGTGTGCTTCTTCCATGTTGGCTTTGTTGCTTCTGAACTTGTTGGCCGCTTGATTGCCTTCAATCCTTTAAGACCCCAGAGGCTGTACTTTTCGATAGCTGGGCACCATCAGCTTTCTTCGCCACATTTGCTTATGCACCCATTTGTGGTTTGAAGACTTTAGTAATCAACTTTAATTTCTGGTTCATTAGAAGGTTCTTAAACAGTTTGCTACCAAACCCTCCAAAATGATGGATAGGATAGTTTTCTCTCTTCATCTTAAGCATGTGATGACAGGCGATAGAGAGAAGCCGTTTCTGGGGCGATCAGCAGCAACACAGGTTGTCTCTCAGTCTGTTGATGCAAGTCTGAGAGTAATCAATGTCCAGGTTTACTTATTAGATTTACTATTAAAAAGAGGCAAGCTATCCATTGCCTCTCATGATAAGGTTGAGCCACTCATTTTTGAAAGGGAAGGTACAGATTTTGGGAAGATAGTTTTAACAATAGTTCAAAAAGTGAAAAAAATCATTAATCTCATTAACCATGGAGAATCACCATATCTACAAAAATACTGTTTTAAAAGTCTTATAAGTGCCATGTATGCCCTTCGTAAAAAGAAAGGTGAAAGTCTGTAAGGGGCAGAGGAAGCAGTAGGGTCCTCCAGAACAGGCGGGGTGCAAAACAGAGAGAAGCTATTCCGAAGAGAGGTCAGCCCGTCTGCTTGAGAACCGCCACTGCAATGGGGAAGGGCAGTTCCAGCCTGGAGTGATCTAACACACGCTTTCAGAACTGACACAGCTAGTCTCATTCTAGTATATAGCCCCTCAAAAACAAGACACACCACCAAACCCGACAAAGCGAACTCACTGCCTTCCTATCAGTGCTAACTCACATCGATCCTTTAGGACAGGGTGGAACTGCTCATGTGAATTTCTGAGACTAACTTTTTACGGGACTAGAAAGCATTGTCTTTCTCCTGTAGAGTGGCTAACGGTTTCAAACTGCTGACCTTGCGGGTTGCAGCCCAAAGTGTAACCACTGTGCCACTAGTAACATAGTCATATCATGAAAAACAGAAAAGATTGAAGTTGTGAAGGATTTAATTGTGCTTGGGTCTGCAATTAATGCTTCACCTGAGGACGCGGCAGTCGGGAAACTAAATGACATACTACATTAGGCAAATTTGCACAAGACCTCGTGAAGTGGTGAGAGCAAGGACGGCACTTTGAGGACTTAGGTGTGCCTAAGCCAAGCCGTGGTAGTTTCATTCCCTTCATATTGGACAGCGAAAGGGAGGACTGTAGAAGAACTAATGCATATGAATCACAGTGTCCAGAAGAACAAACAAATCTGCCTGGGAAGATGTACAGCCAGAGTGTTCCTTTGAAGCAAGCATGGAAAGACTACGTCTCACATAGTTTGGATATATTATCAGGATAAACCAGTCCTTGGAAAGAACAGTATACTTGGTAACGTGGGTCAGCATTAAAAAGGAAGTCCCTCAAGATGAGATGGATTGACATGGCTTCAACAATAGGCTCAACATAGCAACAACTGATGGGATGGTAGAGGACCAGGCAGTGTTTTGCTCTTTTGTACATCGAGTTGCTGTGAGTTGAAACTGACTCAATGGCGCCTAATCGTCATAACATTGATGATGAAACAGAGCCCAAGGCAAAAGAAGAACCAGACCAAAGTGAGCCCAAGAAATGCTATCTAAAGCAGCGGTTCCCAACCTGTGGGTTGCGGGGGCCGAACGATCATTTAAGAGAGGTCCCCGATTCATAACAGTAGCAAAATGACAGTTATGAAATAGCAACGATATGTATGGATTTTGATAAGAGTTGTATGAGCCCCTAATAAAATGATTTTAAAAAATAATGAAAAAAAAAAAAGAAATAGCAATGAAAATAATGTTATGGTTGGAGGGGTCACCACCACATGAGGAACTGCATCAGAAAGGTTGAGAACCACTGCTCTAAAGAGAAAAACAGGAAGATTTTTTTAAAAATTAGGAAATAAAAAATGAAATAAGGCCTAGAGGGGAAAAAAAGGGTATTTCAAAGAAGAGACTATTTTGTAACAGCCCCTGGAGACACAGGTGCAACCACTACACAACCAGGCTGTTGTGGCCGGTGGCTGGGTGGGGCATTGTGCTGGCGTAAAGATGATAGCTACAGAAGCCCTATGCTCAGTTTTATTTCCTAATAGATGGGAGCATCACAGGTCTGGATGGACTGGGTGGTAGGAACCCGACAGTAGCAAGCTGTGACAATCAGCACAAAGCTACATCTCAGTAAAGCATCACATAATTTGGGCGTGAAGAAAAAGAGCAGTGACAGAAGAGAAGGAGGAGTAAACCGTTCCATACTTTTCGACAGTTCCATGCCAGCAGGAAGGAGAGTGAACATGTTCAGGTTTCTCAAGGAAAGACAGTAGGAGCCAAAGATTCTGTACATAGAAAAATTGACTTTTAAGTATAATGGCCATAGACAAACTGTTACCTACATGTAAGGATATTGTTCATATGAGGCCTTCTTGAGGAATCTGCCACAGATCATCTAAGCAAGTAGAGAAACATTGGCATAAATTGTTAGTGAGCACTGAATACATAGTTACCTAAGAACTTCCAGTCAGAATATACTTACCTATAGAACTAGTGTGTTAGCCAGATAGACTAGAGAAGAAATCCAGGGACACTCATGTATGTATAAGAAAGAGTTTCATATCAAAGAGTAATTGTATATTAAGAAAACATCCCAGTCCAGGTCAAGTCCATAAGTCTAATATTAGCCTGTATGTCTGATACCAGTCCACAGATTCCTCTTCAGACTCACGCAACACATGCAGTGATGCCGAATGCAGGAAGATCCCAGGCCAGTGGGTGGAAAGTCTTCTGGATCCATCACAGGCCAGGGATGGTAGAAGTGTCTTAGTGCTGGAGGGGGTCTCCACGTGCTCCTCCAGCTCCAGGGCTCTGGCTGCCATTAGCTCAGCTCCATGTTGCTTGTCAAGAAAGTCAAGCAGAGAGAGTGTGTGTGCCGCCTGAAAACAAAGTTCCCCGAACCTTCATGAGAAGACTGTGCCCACAAGGAGGGATCATTCAGGCTGATTGACAGGCTAGACTCCACCCTTTGCTCAAGTTGACAGATTATGTAACTCACACAACTGGAGTCACTATAAGTCAGAATCAACTCTATGGCAGTGAGATGTTGGGTTTTTTTAAACTTGTTTTAAAAATATAACTAAGATTAATGAAGCTTACGGATGCAACGAAGGTAATAATTCCTATATGCTCAGACAGTATGGATCTAATAAATCTGTTAAATAGATTGAGGGTGAGGGGAAATTTATATTAAATGAAATTATTAAATATTTTCAGAAATCATATTGGTGATATATTATTAGCATTGTTATTCACAAACGTTTGTGTCTGTAAATATTATTAGAAACAAAGGAGTAATTAAAGAGTATTTTATTTCCATCCTCTCCTGTATCCCTGGATTCGAAAGGAGATAATATAATCCCATGGCTGTTGGGTCAGTTCAGACTTGTGATGATCCCATATATTATAGAAATGCTAACGAGCCTTGAAAACTTTGGGGCAGACTTTAAAATGACCCAAATGTTAAATGCATTATTCTGTACTGACCTACTTGTTGATTGGCAGAGGAAGGAAGCCTTACAGAGTACAGCATGACCTCAGTCTAGGAGTTGGTTGACCAACAATTTTATGCAGCCACCAGGAAACCTGGCTTAAAAATGAAAACAAGACAGACTACTCTTTCAGATTTAGCCTAGGCAAGTTACTAAAGCAAGAAAAAAATAGCTTTCAGGAGGTTTTAAAATCAGCCAGAGTTCCTGAAGTATAAAGTCTAAAATGTTCATTTTTCAACTACAAATTATAAGCTATTCAAAGAAACAGGAAACTATGACCCATATTGAGGAAAAGGAAAATAAGAAAATGCTAGAAACGGCTTCTGAGCCACACACTAGCTTTAAAAGACAAAGGCTTCAAAGTAGAAATCAAGTGATGCTCAGAGGGCCAAAGGAAGCATGTTTAAAGTAGTGACCAGACGGAGGAGAACAGTGAACCAACCCTGAGCACATGGATTTCTTTGTGTTTGATTGTTTCCAGTTCTTTTCATTTATTAGGCTTACTGATGCTCATTTTTGGCCAGAAAAATCTCTCTTCAAGTTGGATTTTAAGTCCTTTAGATGTGATCCTTGGTATAATATTTGATAATTACAAAAACTATTGATTTGAAGCTGTATTTTTAATGAGAATATATTGCAGCCAGAAAATGATGTTCTTTTAGCAATCCTGGCTTAATTACCACTGAATGTCCAAATGTGATTTGAATTTAGATATTCTTGGGATTTTTTTTCCTTATAGGTATGGGAGGCATTGCCAGCATGCCACCCCTCACAGCAGTTGCTCCAGTGCCAATGGGGTCCATTCCCGTGGTCGGGATGTCTCCACCCCTCGTTTCTTCTGTTCCTCCAGCAGCAGTGGCTCCCCTGGCGAATGGGGCTCCCCCTGTCATACAACCTCTGCCTGCATTTGCTCATCCTGGTATGTGACCTGCTAAGACCATAGGCTGAGTTTTTACACCTTGAATTTTACTGTTCATGCTTCTTTCAAACTAAATACGGTTTTATTTCATAGGGAAATTTCCATCTATTTAATCTTTTTGATCATCTGCTTATTTTGTATGGTGAGAGTTGGGGGAGGTGGTGGGTCTACAAACCAAACCCAAAACCCCTGCTAGTGACTCAAGGCAACCTGACAGGTCAAGGTAGGACGGCTCCATGGGTTTTCCAAGGCTGTCATCTGCTGCCACAGCTCTCTCCCATGGTGCCCCTGGTGGATTTGCACTACCCATCTTTTGGTTAGCAGGCGAGTTCTTTAGCCATTGTGCCACTAGGAGTGGATAGCTAAAGCTCTGGGTACTATTGCAGTTAAAATGAGGTCGACAGTCAAGAACATAACTTCCTCTCAAAAGCTGGCTAAGAGTAACTGAAGTTTGGGCTGTTTTTAAACATTTTTTTATATCATGTATTACTTATTTTCTTCAGCTGTTGAGAACTGAAAATAAGCAAGCTAGTGATTTCTCTCACTCACTGCCATTGAGCCCATTCCAACCGACAGTGACCCTGTAGGACAGCGTAGAACTGCCCTGTGAGTTTTATGGGAGTAGAAAGCCTCACCTTTCTCCTGGGGAGCAGTTGGTGGTTTCAAACTGCTGACCTTGCTCCAGCCAGGTCACCAGGGCTTCATCCAGTGCTTTAGGAGAAGAAGAATTATGTGAGGAGGGGGAAAAAGAAAAGAACAATGCATGTTTTCTTTGATTAAATCCAGCAGAATGGGGGGAAGGGAGCCTATTAAATAACTTACTGTGTTAAGGTAAATTTATTAAATGCTTAACTTGAAGGAAAGCCCTAAAAAGTTCCATTCTGAACCTTTTTTCAATCTTTTTCCTTTTAGTGAAAAGACAGCATGAATTTCAGATGTGGATAGTTTAGTCTAATAAAGCTTCAAGAATTTACATGAGCACGGAAATTATGACAAAAATTAATTTGGGTGTGTCTGAGAAGATGCAGTAGTAAAGACATTACATTTAGCACTGGGTTTTAATCATCACGTTTGTGATTGTGGCCCCTGGATTTATTATATATGCTAGCCTCTGCCTCTAAGCGATGGCCTAAGACCCTCAATGTACCTTATTTCCCCTCTGTGAGATGGTTTCGTCACAAGGAGCCCGTCTTATGCCCGTGGTCATGATTGCAGGCGGGATGGCAGTTGGGAAAGTATGTGCAACTGTTTTCCAGTAGAATCAGTGAATCCACACACTTCGGCCCTTTTTTTCTTTTGCCCCTGTTTTGCTGAGGTTCAGACACAGAGCTAACCAGCTCTGTGAGAATCAGACCCAGACGCTGACCCCCTCAGCATCACTGTTATTGGCCAAGAGCACAGCCTGTGTGATTTCTTGGCTCTTACATCTGGAACTTCAGTGGTGTTTTAAAGAAATGCCATCTTACATGGTTAAGTGTTTACTTCTTTAACGATTAGGGTAGGTTTTATGTAAAATATAATAGTGAAAGATTAATGAGGTCTAAACTTTTATGGAAGCAGGCATTGCAACTTAACATAGTAAGGTGTTTTTCAAGAGAACAACTTATCCAGGCGCAGAGGAGGGTCTGGGGGAGTAACTCCTTGCTTTTCAATCCAGGGTGGTAAGAACTGATTACTTCGTCTTTTTTTTTTTTTTTTTTTAGAAGGATTACTTCTGCCTCAGATTTGATGACTGAATTATAATTTCTACAAAGATTAAAATATTTAGGATTAAAACTATTCAACGTTTGTTTTACAGCAGCCACATTGCCAAAGAGTTCTTCTTTTAGTAGATCTGGTCCAGGGTCTCAATTAAATACTAAATTACAGAAGGCACAGTCCTTCGACGTGGCTAGGTAAGTTTGCTTGTTTTCCAGTGGGAGGCTTGGTTAAAGCCATTATCTGATTGACTCTTAAGTTTCCAAATGAATTGGCTATGTTTATCTTTATAGAATGCTAATAATACTTAATTTGGGTGATGTTACTTGGTCTTACCATTTATTTGTTGCCTTGATAGTAATCAAGGGCATGATTATTTCCTGTAAAATGTTTGCTTTTTTGTTTGTTTGTTTGTTTGGGTTTTTAGGAGCAGACCAAATAAGCAATAGTAAAAACTGTTTTAAAATTGTGATATAGAGTTCCAGGATAGGAGAAAAACAATGAATGAAACATTGTGTATTACCATTCCCAAATTACTTTGCAAATATATTTTTGTATGAGATTGGGGCCACAGTTGTCCTTGTTTTAATTCTATGGTCTCATTCTGTGTGGGTTATTAGTAAAACTGTATACAAAGACCAGTTTTCATTGAAATAAACTTTTTGGATTAATTTAACAGTTTTGGATTAACAGTTTAAGTTAATCAAATATGTGACCTAATTTCTGGAATCTTCTTGCTCATATTTTGGCAAATTTTCTTTTCCCCTGAGTTTTTCCCCTTGACCTGCTGCCACAAAGAAGAAAAATTAAGTCTCTCTCTCTCTCTTCAAATGATGGTGGGTATAAATGAAGAAAAACCCATCTTAAGAAATCTGCCTTCAATGAATCACATCATCTCCCTATTTTAAAATTTCGAAAAGTGTGTTGAGTATAATACAGACTCTCCTGGGAGCTTGAGAACCCAGGAGTGCTTGAAGGTGGCGGGGCAGTTTCCCCTTAGATAACTTCACAGCTCTGTGCTTTCATTGCTGTAGCATCACCTTTAAAAGAATGATTTAAAGAATCGTGCCAAACAGATCGGCAGTATCTCATTTAATTGTGTCTTCTCCACAAGGTAGCTCCACTCTTTTCTCACTGTTAGGGATGATAAAGAAACTCAGAGACATTCAGCAACTTGCCCACGACAATGTGACTCCTAACCAACAGCAGAGTTGAACTGAGTGCTTTCTGATTTTGGGGCATATGTCCTTACCTTGAGCCACCTCATCTTCACTTTGCTCTATAGACTTCAGCTACCTGTGGTGCACAGGTATTTGTGTTTCACTCTGAAGAGGCAGAGCCACAACCCCACAGCCACCTGTGGAGCACGTCTTTCCTCAGTGGATGAGGAAGCAAGCCCGAGAAGTCCCATCTCTCCCCTATGACTTGCCCCTAGTTTAGAGCAGTTGAGGTTTAAACTCAGATGATCCATCACAAATTTTCATATATTTAGTCTTTTTCACTATACAGTGCAGAAGGTTTGAGATTTTTTTCCCTGACTCATTCAGAAGGGATTTTGACTTCTGTCTTTATGACTCTAAAATGAGTTAATAAGCATGAGTGCAATTAGGCCATTTAAACACACACACACACACATACATACATACATACATACATACAGTCACACTTTCAATACCAGTACATTTAATTCCCTGGCAAATGGATGTGATGTAGCATGTAACTTTGGTTCCACATCATTACTGAGTTTCAGTGTTTAGATTCTCAGGGCTTTGGCCAAAAACTCGGACTTGCTCAGTGTAATCTGGGACAGCGTCTGTGTGTAACACCCCTGCTTTCCCAGAGTGCAGTACAAAGATAGCGTCTTAACAAGTAGGCAAGAGTTAGGACTAGGAAAACATTACTTTAAAATGAGAGAGCTGTTGCAGAAGTACTCACAGCGTAGATCTTGGTAAGTGTTTTTTAATTTAGAACACCAGATATTATTTTCTGTTAATTTGGGGACCATTTGAAAATTATTCTGAAGAAGGAGATGCATCAAAATGTATGGCCAGATGGCAAAAAGGTTTGCACAAAATAGGAAACTAAGGCTTGTAAAAGATTAGTATATATAATTTTTAGAGGTTTTGAAACTGTTATTCTTTATGAAGTATTGTAAGATCATGTAAATTGTGAGGTTATATGGGGGGGGGACTTAAAAAATTCATGGAAAAGTGGAATCAAAAGGTAATGGAGTTTTTCCACCAATTTTGTGGAGCCTCGTGTGTGTGTGTGTGTGTGTGTGTGTGTGTGTGTGTGTGTGTAAGCACTACCTCTTTGGGGGTGGTGGTGTGATGTATATAATCAGTTTATATAATCAGTGATGCATATAATCAATTTATGTTTGAAATTTTGCTCTAATATGTGAAATAGGTTTGTCTTTTAATTGAAAGGGAAAATGTTGCCAGTGGGCTTTGCTATCATCTGTCCTGACATGGAATGCCATTTTTGTTCTCAGCTCTGCCACTGTTTCATATAACCCAAATTAGCCATCAGGTTCCACTGTGACACTTGTGGACAATGTTCCAGAGGAACTAACCACTAAGTCGGTCGGTCTAGACCCACGCTGTCTGCCTGCAGGGGTTTCCTCAGGTCAGGACTGCGGCTCACTGGCAGGGAAGCAGCTGTAGGCCAGAAAACAGAGCTCCCTCCATCCCTGCTCCAGATTGGCTGGGACCCTTGAAATGTTCTGTTCCTTCTCTGGGAAACTCTCCGCTGGATGGGAATTTCAACTTCCCAGAAGGAAATAATTTGACTTCATTAAGAAATGCATCCTGGGGTGTTGTTTTTTGGGGGAAGCGCACAGAAAGGTAAACGTTTAGGCAATTAATACTTTGCAAGGCAGCGGTTTGTTTGCTGTCAGCACTGCATTCACATCCAAACAGGAATGCTCTAGAGGCCTAGAAAAGCCCAGAGGTTATGGTCTGGCCTCAGTTCCAAGAACATTTCCATAGTTTTCTTAGTTTTATAGAGCCTGTGTATTGTTTAAATCGTCATTATTATTGGCAACAGCCACTTGTTAAAACTGGTCATCATTGTGTAGAGAACACCTTAGTTTCCAGTTTGTAATGAGCTAAAGTACGCAGTTCTTACTCTGAACCCTATTTCTTCCCTCTCCCCTTCTCCCCACAGTGCCCCTCCTGTGGCAGAATGGGCTGTTCCCCAGTCATCGAGACTGAAATACAGACAGTTATTCAATAGTCATGACAAAACTATGAGTGGACATCTCACAGGTAACAATGTAATGAAATGGGGCTTGTTTGAAATGTAGATTGTCTCACTTCACCCACTTTTCTGTCATCAGTGAGTGAGAGGAGACATCGGACAGTGTAAGACATGAAAAAATATATAAATTTTCAAGGGTGCGTGAGGGAAGGAGGGTGGGGGCGGGAGAGGAAAAATGAGCTGACACCAAGGGCTCAAGTAGAAAGCAAATGTTTTGAGAATGATGGCAACAAACGTACAAATGTGCTTGACACAATGGATGGATATATGGATTGTGTTAAGAGTTGTACAATCCCCCAATAAAATGATTTTTAAAAAAATGCAGATTGTTGCAGGATGTGTGGCCAGAGGCAGGTTTGAAATGTTTTCCTCTCCTGGTTTATTTCTAGGTAGGCTTTCATGGCTCCTCTTCCGTGGCGTTTGCCTCTGTGGGTAACTCCATCGATAACTTCTGTATCCCCCAGTGCCTCAGACCTTTACTTTCTTCCTCTTGGTATTGTGGAACCCAGACCATGAAAGTTCCCCGAAAGCCACTTGTATGTAAACCAAACTACTAGCAAAGAAACGGTCTTGAACTTAAACTGACTTCTGGTTATGTGTCAGAGAAGAACTGAAGCTCCCCTGTCAGCAGTTTCAAGGCAGGGCCGTGTGCTCAGTGCAGAGTCCCCGAGTGTGGGGATTGGAGCAATTACTCTACTTCTTCCCATCCTCGGGCTTCACCTGTACAAGGCCAGAATTAAGTTGTAGGGCCTCAGTGGGTTTTTACAAGACACGGCTATTTTGCTATCTACATCAGAAGGACAGAAAGATTTTTAGGTACCATTTGACAGCCTCTCTCAAGAAGGATGAAACACTTGAAAGTGACGAGAGTTATAAAGAAAAGCATAATTTTAATAAAGGAAAATTGAACTCTCGTGTAGGAACATGAACTATAGAAGAAATATAATTGCCGTTTAGCAAATGAATGAAAGGGAGGGACAAAAGGTTCATGCCCCTAGGGTGAGGTAAAGGAAAACCCTGATTTTATTCATATATAAAATGCAAGACACAGGGAAATTAACAACTCTTAAAAGCGCACATTTTGTGCTTTAGGTGAAAGTTTACACAGCAAGCTAATTTACATTCGATGGCACACGTGCACATTGCTTAGTGACATTGGTTGCATCCCCACAATGTGTCAGCGTTTCCCCAGTTCCCACTGATACAGTTCCCTGCTCCTCCCTGTTTTCTCTTCTTGTGAGCACATGTTGCCTTTTTGGACACTGACAGGTGATTGTGCTAAGGCTGACATTCCTCCCAGGTGATGATGTGTATTCTGCAAGCCACTCTTACATGGCTGAAAGGTGATCTCTGGGAATGACTTGTTTCAAGAGGGAAGACTATCTCAGGGTTTCCTCCAGTCTGTCCGAACAGGAAGTCTAGTATTGCTTATGAATTAGAATTTTGTTCTACATTTTCCACTCATTCTTTCAGGAGCTTCTATTGTGTTCCTGGTCAAAGGCATTGTAGTGATGAGTGGGCACCATCTAGTTCTCCTGGTCTCAGATTAGAGGAGGCTGAGATTCATTTGGCTATTAGTCCTTTGGACTAATTGCTTTCTTCGAGTCCTGGTTTTCTTCATTCTCCTTTGCTTCCAGTGGGCGAACTATTAATTTTATTTTATTCAGTTTGGGGATGGAAAGAATTGTTGAAGTATAAATTAAAGAAAAGTGAAACTGGTAATTCTACGTTAATGCTACCAACCTTAGTAAATTACATTGCGGATTCTAAAAATGCTCAGTGAACTTACCTCATTGCAGACCGCATAGAACCTTTAAACCTTCCCATCAATTCAGTAAAGAGTTGATTCTTCTTCAGTTGCTCCCAATTAAAACAAAACAGAACAAAACTTTTCACTGTTATTTGGGTGAGGGTGTACAGAGCAAATCAGCCTCCCCGGCAACAACCGTTGGTTCACCTTTTCCTTGTGCCGCTGATTGTAATCCCCACAGTGCAGCAGCGCTCATCTTGTGTTTCCTTCTTCCTGTTTCAATATTTTCATTTGGACATTAGCCCCGAAGCTTTGCTGTGTCAAGAATGTCAAAGATACACATGAATGAATGCATGCATATGCATATACACACATACACAAAAGCCTAACAGGAACATGTGCACATATTCACCAAACCACAAACTTTCTGAAAGTTTATCAGTGGATAAATAGTGACTTAGTCACCCAATGGTGTAGTACAGAACAACAAGGATTAATGTTATATATAATGATAAATTGAGCAAAAAATTGAGATGTAACAGAGGCATACTATGCTGCTATTAACAGGCTGCCCTTGAGGGGGAGATGCTGCATAGTCGGATGCCTAAGAGGGTTTTTTGGGAGGGCGATGATACTCTTTCATGACTTGGGTGCTGTTTTCTTGAGCTCCAGTAAACCTCAACCCAAAGACATTCAACTCCACTTCAGTGGGTCAACAAGCACAACTCCCCAAATGATGTGCCTAAAGGCACCCCACTCCTCAAAGCCAGCCTCTTGCTCACAAGCACTCAGCTTCGCTGTTTCGCGGTGTGGGAAGTCCATCACTATGCACATCACTCTGCTCCTCCTTCGGCTACTGCTCCTCTGATGTGACAGCTCCCATCTGGATCCAGGAGGTTCACTGCACAGGAATCTCGGGTCCAGAGGAGGCATCCACTCCTGACTCTAGCTGGTAATGAGATCCCACCTCCTGCTTCTCAGAGGGCTTATTTTATACACAGCAGTATGGTATTACAGGGAATCCTGTTCACAATGACTCATCAGTATCTTCTCCCACCTTCTCATCAAATCCATGCAGTAAAAGGTCATTTTGTGTGAGTTAGAGCCACATTAAGTAAGTTACTGCCCCTGCAGGTGAGTGCTAGATAGACACAGTGCCTGTGCTTTGTGTTTCTTCACCTTTTCAGCTGACCTTGATTTAAGGCTTCTAGAGTAAGGAGGCTTGGTGGTGTAGTGGGTTAAGTGTTAGGCTGCTAACCACAAGGTCAGTGGTTCAAATCCACCAGCTGCTCCACAGGAGAAAGATGTGGCTTTCTACTCCCGTAAATGGTTACATTCTTGGAAACCCAGGGGCATTTCTCTCCTGTCCTATAGAGATGCTATGAGTCTAAATCAGCTCTGTGGCAGTGAGTTTGGCGAGGACTTTTTTTTAGGTAACAGAAAATAATATTTAAATCACTAGAATTTCACGAAAGGGCACAGAGCATAGTTGCCCAGCACTGGGTCTTCCTGATAGTGAGAATTTGCTTATTCATCTCTTTATCTCTTTTTCTGTTTCCATGTAGGTCCCCAAGCAAGAACTATTCTTATGCAATCAAGTTTACCACAGGCTCAGCTGGCTTCAATATGGTAAGGAAAACGAAAAGTGCCTTGGTTTATCTAGAGTGGAAACTATTTGTTAGACTGATATAGTTAGCACATTTATTGATTTGGGGAATGTCTAAAGTATGCTTAATTTTCAGTGAGTTGTGAATCTACCTCTGAATTTTCCCCCTTTCAATTTTTAAAAATCCGTAAGCCAAGAGATTAACATGAAGAATTATTAAAAACTCCTAGTTTAAACATGTCTCACTTCATGGCCAGTTCAGGTTCTCTTTGCTTTCTTTTGATTTATTAAGCCACATCTCAGGTTTCACATCACTTCAACTGCTACACTTCTAGACTGTGTTTGTGCAAGAGATAGGGGTTTTTAAAGCAGAGCCACGACACCAAGACTCCTGAAAGAAACCCTGTGCCCTTGAGTCCGTCGCACTGAGCAGCCCCAGAGGGCAGTGTAGAACTGCCGCGTAGGCTTTCCGGGACTGTGAGTTTTTACAGAAGACTGCCACTTCCGTCTCTCACTGAGTGGCTGGTGGCTTTGAAGCATTGACTTTCCAGTTACTAGTTGAGCACTTAACCACTGTGCCATTGGGGCTCATACAGCACCAGTAGCGCACCTAAAACATGTTAACAGTAACCATTCTCATTAAATTACCTTATAATTTTACAATAATTTTATTGTTCAAATCAGAAGTAAAGTAAATCCATATTTTTCAGTGATTGGTTTAATACTCCTACACCTTGTTACCTACCGGTTGATCCTGGGGACTTGATTCTGACACATGGTGACCAGTCACCTTTAAGCTAGAGCAGGTGTTCTCAAACTACGGCCTGCGGGCCCCACACGGCCCGCCGAGGACATTTATCCGGCCCGCCGGGTGTTTTTGCCCCATTTGTTTTTTTACTTCAAAATAAGATATGTGCAGTGTACATAGGAATTTGCTCAGTTTTTTTTTAAAACTATAGTCCAGCCCTCCAACGGGTCTGAGGGACAGTGAATTGGCCCCCTGTTTAAAAAGTTTTGAGGACCCCTGATCTAGAGGATCCACTTCTCTTGTCCCTCACCATCTGCAACAAAACAAAACCTATCCTATAGTTTCTTTCATCTAAAAATTTTTAAAAATCTTTTTATTAGGGGCTCGTACAGCTCATATCACAATCCATATATCCATCCATTGTTTCGAGCACATTTGTACATTTATTGCCATCATCATTCTTAAAACATTTTCTTTCTACTTAAGCCCTTGGTATCAGCTCCTCATTTCCCCCCTCCCTTCCCCACCCACCCTCCCTTATGAACCCTTGATAATTTATTTATTTATTTTTTCATGGCTTACGCTAACCGGTGTCTCCCTTCACCCACTTTTCTGTTGTCCGATCATCTGAATTTTTATGATTGCATCTCTGTTGTTTGTTTATTTGTCTACCTATTTATCTGGAGATTATTTTATTTTGGAGCAATTTTTATTTTATTCATTTATCTATCTATCTGTTTAAAACTTCTCCTTCCCTCTCCCTTTTCCAGCCCTGTCCCTGGCCTCCTGGTTGTCATCAAAGTCTTCTCTTTTGGTGTATAGAGCACATGGTTTTTCTTAGAACAATGATGATGTTAAATATTTATCTTTGTAAGACTGAGTTTGCTAAGCATAATGTTCTCTAGTTTTTTCCACATGTGGTGCAGTGTTTAAGAGAGTTATTGGTGTTATTTTTGTTTTTTCTTTTTTTTCAGTGTTTTTTATTGATGTATAAAATTCAGTCGTATGAACAGTACCAGAGCTTGTTTACCCATTGCTCTATAGTGGGGGTTCTTGGTTGTTTGCATGTTTTGCTAGTGTGGAAATTGCTGCAATAAACATAGGTGTACTACTGTTGGTGTTGTCTCCTGGTATGAGTGTTGTTTAATTTGCTCCTGTTTCCTGTATTTCTTATAAACTTGTAACTGGATCTGTGGACATTTTGGGGTGGGTAATTCTTTGTTGTGCTGACTGTCTGGTACAGTGTAGGATATTTAGTAGTCCCTAACCCACTAAATGTATAATTTTATCCAAAGGCATATACAGTCTCTTTGTCTGCCTTATGATTTTAATAGCTTTTGCATTAGACTCTACGAACTTCCTTACTTTAGAAGTCTTCAAAATGGTCTCCCAAGAGCATACATCTTTCTGTAATATGTTACCATTTCTCCTCCTTGAAAGTATATTGAAATGGAGATTTTATTTCCCATTTATAATCTGTCTTCTTTGAAAACAGTATTTGAGGCTTCTCTCGTTAACGAGTTACTCGGTTAACACTCTGCATACTTAAGTCACTTTAATTAAATGTTCATAGACATTAATTTGATAAGTATAGGGGGAAACAACATTGTAGCCACTCTTTGGTCTGAAGTACCGTACTGAGGGTGGAAAATGGCAGGGCAGGAAGAGCACTCCAGCTGTTCTCGCGGCACTGTGCCCGTCTCACACGGGCGTCTGGCTTCGGGAAAGGTGCAGCTGGGGGTGCGGAAAAGAGCTAAGTGGCAATCAGATTAGGAAGGAGTTGGCTATAAAGAGACCTGGGAGGAATTTTTGTGGTGCTGAGGTGTTTCTGTGCAGTTTGGTGATAGGTACATGACCGTGTATATTCATTAAAACTCACAGAACTGTACTCTAAGAACGGTATACTTACTGTGTGGAAATTATACCCTGATTTTGGAGGGAGAAATGATTTAAGACACCTGAAGGCTATTGAAATTTATGAGGAAAGTTTCTGGCTTTCTGGCCTTGCACAAAAAGCAGCTTCCCAAAGTAGCATTTGCCCTGCCGCCTGTCTGGCAAACAGTCTGTGTGTGGCTGCTTATTCTCTGCCAGTGTCCAAAAGTCGCTGAGTGAAATCCCATTCTGGGCATGCAAGGAAAAACTGCTGCAGTGAATTCCTTAGGCAAGTTCCCAGTGTTGAATTCCAAGAAGAAGGAGATGTCAACACTTAGACGCTGTGGCTGGTGGCCATCAAGAATCACCCTTGGAGGCCTAGCTCGGGGCCAGCCACATCCAGACTGGACCTGTGTGTTCTCTCTCTTAGAACATATGCACAGCCAGACAGCTTTCCACCCCCCAGTTTCAGCATTCTCATTCGCCCCGTTCTAGTTGTTCCATTCCCATTAATTTAAGGTGACCAGACGTCCCGCTTTTGGCGGGACAGTCCTGATTTTTAACAATTTTTCCTGCGTCCGCGGCATTTTAAAAAGTCCCGATTTTTGAAAAGAATGTACGACAAGCTAGGGTATACGGTTTCGCCTGCCATGTGGCTATTTCGCCAGGATATGAGTTTTATCAATGGTGTCCCGCTTTACCAATCTTAAAATCTGGTTACCTTACATTAATTGAATCTCACTGACCCCCAACTTCTCAGCTACAGCACCTGTTCTTGGAAACGGACCTTTACGATAGTAGTGAGGCCCAGGTTCATGTGTTGTCAGTGGCTGCTGCCCTACTACGACAGCAGCCGTGAACAGAGGCGTCCTGACAAAGGCTGGATTGCCTGCAGAGCTTCAAACGTTCGCTGTGTGGCCCCTTACAGAATACATTTGCCGATCCCAGGCCTAGACCATCGTGCTCAAAGAGCAGTCTATGAGTCCAGTGTACTTTAGGTCGGTTTGTCAAAACTGCAAACAGAATACCTATAATCACAGGTAACACTTGTTGAATGCTGTAGACTACTTCAAGTCTGTTAGAAGATTACCCGTTGCATCCTGAAATAGGCACCATTTGTACAAATGAAAGCACAGAGAGGCTCAGTGAGCTTACAGTCAGAATAAGGAAACAAATTTGAAGCCAGTTCTGAGGAGTCAGAAGCCTGCATTTCTGTGAAAACATTACAGTTAACTTTTTGTTGAATAGGAATCTTTCCGACATTGACCAAGACGGAAAGCTCACAGCAGAAGAATTTATCCTGGCTATGCACCTAATTGATGTGGCTATGTCTGGCCAGCCCCTGCCACCGGCTCTGCCTCCAGAGTATATCCCACCTTCCTTTAGGTAAGAAACATTCGGCTTTTATAGACAGGGCTTGCTGAGTGTGTGAATTCCAAGCTTAGCTTTCTAATAGGAATTTTCACTCTTGGCAAGTAAATGAAACAACTATGAATTTTAAAAATACATATTTTTATTTGTCTTCTGAGCCTCTTCTTGTCTTTATACTACTTCTAATCCCTTATCAGTAAAGCAAACAAGTAAAACTGCGAAAGGTTGCTGATTTAGTAAAAAATACAAGTAAACTCTCCAGAAATTTTAGGAACAGATGTCAGCCGTGAAAGAGAAACGGTATGAGTGTGTGCATAAACAATAAAACCAACACATTTGCCTATGGATTCTATGTGTTCCAGAGGCAACCAAATGCCATTATCATGAAGATGATTAAAGAGAATTACCCTGGTCTGAACGCAACCTCTGTAGACACGTGAAGAGAGCCCAGCACGGTCCAGTGGGGCAAACTTTTTTGAATAAGCTTAAAAGTTAGGGTCCGATGGTATTTATATGTTCATATTTTTAAACATCTTTGTGTTCAGAGCCCCAAATCTTTTTTTTTTTTGGTCTTTTCCTTTGCCATATGTGGCATTTCCCAGTATAATCTTTGGGAAAAAGAATCTTTCATACTTGGGTCATTGTACCTCACCAGCTTTCTGGAAGTCACTTTTCTTTCTTTTGTAATCGCAGAAGAGTCCGCTCTGGCAGTGGCATATCTTCCATAAGCTCCTCCTCTGTCGATCAGAGGTTACCAGAGGAACCAGTTTTAGAAGACGAACAGCAGCAACTGGAAAAGAAGCTACCTGGTAACGTGGTCTTCCTGTGTCCGTTCTCTCTCAGGCCGACAAAGACGGCAGCCAGAGGAAATCGGACTTTGGGCAGCTTTGATCTGGTCTTTAACTGAAGTTAGCCTGGAAAGATGCACCTTTTGGTGCTTTCAGAGGTGGATATGTACAGAGATGTAAGAACCCTACGACTACATGCCTGCTCTGGTATTTCACTTGAAATCTGACTAAAAATTCCTTAAGTGTTACGTGCAGAGCATTAAAAATTGGTGAGCGGTAATACCACCAGTGCAGAAATAGAATATGTTGTCACCTCCTATTATTTTTCTCATATTGCGATAAGGAGAATTGAAAACTCTGGGATAGCAGGCCTGTGTTTGAAATAATCCACATTTATAATAGATAAAACCATCATTCTATCAAAATAGGTTGACTTTTATGACCTAATAATGATGAGATGACAATTGATTCTAAGACGCAAGTGCAATTTATTTTGGGATGTCTGTATGCTAAATACTCTGCCAGTCTGTTTTGTGGCATCTAAAGTACTGGGTGGTTAATTGACCTGCTCAGGACACTAGCTTTTCTACTTTACTCTTTAAATGACTTATAATTTGCTGGTGAAAGACTAATTGAACTTGGGCTGTGTACAAGCTTGTGTGTTAAGGGCAGTAAAGGAATTGAAGGTTAATAATCCATGGTCTTCCCTGGAGAAGCTTGTGATGTAATAGAGGGTTTCAGACTCCACATAAGCAGTCACCAAAGCAATGGAGAGTGATTTGTCCCAGAAGAGGACTGCGCATGTATGGCGAGATGACTCACGGTTAGTGTAGACTGGGAAAATCATGAAGGAAGCCTCACTGGTAGAAGTCCCTTTTGATGAAGTGTGTTCTGACATGTGGAAGTGAGGAGCGTTTCCGGCTTTGGTAGTAATGAGAATGAAGCTGCAAAGGCATATAAGCACAGGAATCTGTGTGATTTGGCATTTCCCTTTTCTGTTGGTAGTGTTTATTCCCCCGAAGATTTTTAATGCGAAAGTGACGTTATCAGAGATGTTTGTTCATGTATCCATTCTTTCGACAGACCTTAGTTAAGTGCCAAGAATGTACCAGGAATAGAAGTCTCTGGATGGTGCCACTGGCTCGGGTGTTTGTCTCTTAACCCAAAGGCTGTGGTTGAACCCAGCCACAGGTGCTGCAGGAGAAAGGCCTAGCACTCTGTTTTAAAAAGATCGCAGCCGTGAACACGCTGCATGCCTCGCTCTGCTCAGAAACACCGGGGTTTGCTGTGAGGGGGGATTGTTTGGAACTGTAGTGGCAGATACGGAGATTAAGGACGTACAGAGATTTGTATCTTCTGGGTGGCAGAGTAGACAGCATGCTGGCAACCGGAAATGCCGGTGGTGTAAGAAGAACCAAAAAACCAAGACATTTTGATCATTAGGATCATCTTGATCCTAATCCACAACTGCAGTTGTGTTGAGATAGGGTCTTTGTAAACCAGTGAAGACCAAAGCAGAATGTGGGAAGATCCCTGGGCTGCCCCGGTGGCAGAGTGGTTTAAGAGTTGGGCTGCTACTGGAAAGTTCACCGGTTTAGAACCACCAGCCTCTCCATGAAGTTGCAATTTGGCTGTGTCCTACATGGGGGTGTGATTCCGCACAGACTCAATGGCAGTGCTTTTGATGACCTATAGAATGATTAAGGCACAGCTTGCTTTTCAGTGTGAAAGACAGGCTGTTCATACATCTACTTCTCAAATCTGTCTTATTTGTTAAACTAGAAGGCACACCAGTTATAATCTAAGGGATAGGGAGGTAAAAAGAGAAATTCAATATACAAAATAGATAAGGGGTCAGTTGCCGAACCAAGATCATGGAGTGGATGGACAAGGATAGAATAACAAGGAAGGGAAGGAGATTAGGTGATGATGCAGAACTATGTGAGAATGTTCCAGAAATAGTGTTTTAGTGTGGAGGGGCAGGGGTATAAGTAAGAGATTAGGCTTAACTCATAGTGTTGACCTTGCTTAGGGTGCAGACAATAGGGATGGATAGGAAGCTATGAGAGTTTCAGGTTTAAGTCTATCCTCCAAACATCACATATGCGAATGAGTTGTTCTTTTGAAGTAATATATTGAAAATCGTTACTTTTTCTAATTGATCTGTTTCTTGTTTAAAAGTAACTTTTGAAGATAAGAAGCGTGAGAATTTTGAGCGGGGCAATCTGGAGCTGGAGAAGCGAAGGCAAGCTCTCTTGGAACAGCAGCGCAAAGAGCAAGAGCGCTTGGCACAGCTCGAACGGGCAGAGCAGGAGAGGAAAGAGCGGGAGCGGCAGGAGCAGGAGCGCAAAAGACAACTAGAGTTGGAGAAACAGTTAGAAAAGCAGCGGGAGTTAGAACGTCAGAGGGAAGAGGAGCGGAGGAAAGAAATCGAGAGGCGGGAGGTAAGCCGCTATGGATTAGTGCGTGTGCTCTTATGTGTGCTCTTCCTTTCCCTCTCCCTAAAGAATTGTACAAGTACTACAGGAATGGAAACCAGACCACTGCCATATCATCATTCTGACGGAAAGCAACCTGCATAGGGTCTCCAGGACTGTAACCGGTTAGGGAAGATGGTTGTTGTTGTTTGATCTGAAACAAACCATAAATAGTACCATACCAATTGAATTATATTGCAGCTTTTTTTTTAATACCTTTGTATGTCTTGGAAGTTACACTCTATGTAGAGTACTTCATAAATTGGGTATCTTACATGGGTCAGGGCTAAGCTAAGCTCATTTGTCTTTTGAATGTTAGTCTCTCACCACAGGAGCAAATGCAACAGTTCTTTGTGTGAATGAAACTGGATTTTAAAGCTGAAATTTTTTTCTTTATGGAAAACTGATAATGTGTTGATTCCTACTCCTAATGATTGCTTCGGAACCTTTTTAGCCAGAAGCTGATTTTTATTCAGACTCATACACAGTGCTAAACAGTATTCCTATTTTCTATCTAAAACAAAAGATTGGCACGTCAGAACAGTGGTTTTTCAACTTTCCTAATGCTGTGACCCTTTAATACAGTTCCTCGAATGAGGATGGCAACAAATGTACAAATGTGCTTAACTCAATGGATGTATGTATGGATTGTGATAAGAGTTGTGTGAGCCCCTAGTAAAATGATTTCTTTAAAAAAGAGAAAAAAAAGCAGTTCCTCATGTTGTGGTGACCCCCAACCATAAAATTATTTTCATTGCTACTTCATAACTAATTTTGCTACTGTTATGAATCGGGTGACCCCTGTGAAAGGGTCATTTGACCCCCCAAGGGGGTCACGACCCACAGGTTGAGAACCGCTGCTTTAGAGGCTCAGTTCTGAATGACTTGATATGCATTTAGCATATGCTGGTACGCGTTTGTCTCTGGGGATGCAGTGGTGAGCGAGCATTCTCGCTCCCTGACCTCCAGAGCCTGACTGTGGCTGGAAGACCAGTATGGAAGAGGCCCGCAGCACACACCAACCGCTCGGATCGTGGACTCTACCTACACCATCAGGGGCAGTGTAGAAGAGAGCCGACCTTTCCAGAGAGCTGCAGACCCTCATGGGCTAACAAGGAAATGAGCGAGAGGGAAACGGAGCCGTGGGTTGAGTACTTTTCTTTTAATGGGCGAACGCGGAGTCAGGCTGTTTGTTTTTTGTTCTGGAGGTTTATTCCAGAGTAAAGACATTTCCTCGCTCGGTGAGTCAGTACATAAACAAAGGCCGTTTTATTTAGCAGTCAAGTGCTCTTGAAGGCATACAGTATTTCATTCCAGTGGTAAAGGGCTCCTGTCAGTTTTCATCTGATGTAATTGCAACAGTCGATTCCAGATACTCCCTTTTTCTTGCTAGAAGGAATACTGTGTATTTATAAAACTCTCATGTTTTACTGCTTTGTATGATTTAAGAAATAATTATTAAAAACATTTCACCCCTCAAAGAAAAGACTTGATGACATGTTTATTAAGAGGCAGTGTATAGTTTAAGGACTTAGAAATGGACACATCATCTGTTTCATACGTCACAGGCCGCAAAACGAGAGCTTGAAAGGCAGCGACAACTGGAATGGGAACGACATCGACGGCAAGAACTGCTGAATCAAAGAAACAAAGAACAGGAGGACATCGTTGTCCTGAAAGCCAAGAAAAAGACGCTGGAATTTGAATTGGAAGCTCTAGTGAGTGATGCTGGATTGTATTTTGGAACGACACTGATAGCCATTAAAAAGGTGGTAATTGTTACTTTCTGTTTGTTCAAGAATGATAAAAAGCATCAACTGGAAGGCAAACTTCAGGATATCAGATGTCGGTTAGCCACCCAAAGGCAAGAAATTGAGAGTACAAACAAATCCAGAGAACTGAGAATTGCTGAAATCACACACCTACAGCAGCAGTTACAGGTGAGAGCATCTGCTCCTAAATGCTTTGAGGCTCGAATGGTGTTCAGTCGTTAGATTCCTTCAGTGATCCACTGGGCGCTGGAACACAAAAGGTGAGTTGGACAGGGTCCTACTTGAAAAGTAGTGTGTCAGGTAAACTACTTCAGTGAGTATTTACTGAGCCCCAGTATGTTCTAGGTGTTCTCCTAGCCTCCATGGATTCAGCAGTGAACACAGAGGCGAGGGCCTGCTTCTCGGAGCTTACACTCTATGGTGAGGAAGCTAGACTCGTGAAATCAATAAAGTGCCCCTGCACTGGAAGGTGAAACTGCTATGGAGAGTGAATAGGAGCTAGGGAACTCTGTGGGTGGGGAGGGTTGTGACTTTAAATAAAAGGGTGATGTTTGCACACACACTAGAAAGGGGACTCACGACTGGGGCTATCCTGCTGAAGAAGCTGTAGGCTGGGAAGGAGCAGCACAGCATTGCTGTGGCCACAGCATGGAGCCAGTCTAGTTAGCGCAGGAAGAGGTGTAGGGCTAAATTATTTGGGACCTTCTAGTCCACTGGCAGGGTTTTGGTTTGACTATGATAATGAAAACAAATAGGGCAATGAATTATTTGAGTGGGTCTGAGAGAGATGTACAGGGAAGAGCTGGAGACCTTACCATAGGCAGACAAAGCAACATGTGTTGCCATTGAGAGAACAGATGACAATGGCCTTCTAGAACAAACGAGAACTGCCCTCTATAGTTTTTCCACAGCTTCCACTTCTTTGTCCCACAGAGTGACTGGTGGATTTGAACTGCCAGTCTTGCAGTTAGCAGCTCAGTTCCACGGACCCACCAAGGCTCCTGTACTACGGACAGTTTTGTCTTTTTATTTTATTTGATTTTGTTGTCGGGAACCTATACATACATGAAACGTACACCAGCGCTGCCGTTCCTAATGTCTTCTTCTGGCTGGCTCTCGTCGCTGATTGCCCATAGAGCATTCTTAAAAGAGCTCAGTAATGTCCAAGGCACATTTTTTACTAGTGATTATTGTTTGGTTTTCCAGAAGACTTCAAGGGATGTTTTTGGTATAAATTCTAAAGATTATCTCAGGGAAATAGTTTCAGGAGTTCATCAGCTCCATTGGCTCCAGAAAGTCTGGAGTCCATGAGAATTTGAAATTCTGCCGTAGGCAGTTCTCTCTTCATTTCATTGCCAATCTAAAGTTAACCACCAATTGGGTTGATATGTTATCAGCTCATGTGGTGTCAAGTATTGAGCTCTCAAAACCAGGCCAAACTCAGCTCCGTCAAGTCTGTTCTAACTCACCAGGGCCCTATGGGACAAAACCCTTTGTAGGTTTTCCAAGACTGTAAATTCTCACAAGGGCAGGCCTCCGCACCATTCTCCTGCAGAGCAGCGGGTGGGTGTGCAATGCCAGCTTTAGCAGTCCAGTGAGCTCATAGCAGAGCCAACAAATGCTCGACACTTCGGGTTAAAACCTCAGATACTTAAGGTGGGCTGACTAGTGAACGGTACTAAACATTTGATTGGCTATTTCATAGCATCGTTAAAGTATAGCTGCCATCGCAAAACTCATGATGGTATCATGGGGAAAAGCCAGCCCCCCACAACTAATCGTGGTTTCAGTAGGCACAATTGTACGGTTGAGATATGTAAATATTATATTAAAGTCATAGAGAACATGAGGAATCGAAGAGAGATTGAAATAATGGAGTCAGACACATTTCATGGTAGCATGCTCACCTCAGCCCGCCCCGCTTGGTGGTCCAAGTGGAGATAGGGGGAGGGGATGGAGGACAAGGGGAAAGAGAACGGGAGCGAGGACCTGAGAGGAGAGGGGGAGAGGCCAAGAGGGATCTTTATTGTTAATCCAGGCCTATATACCATTGGGGGGTGTGCAAGCCCCCTAATTACAGGTAAAGACATACGTCACAGGAAAGGGTTGTACTATAGGTAATACAGCAATGAGAGGGGGGATAATCTAGGGATATACATGCAATAGGAAGAGGAGGGATTGGGGGTACACATGTGACAAGAAGGGTGGATCCTAGATTCAGGATGGCAGTCTAACTTTGGATGTCACTGAGCAGGTCTGACCTGTTCTCTGGATCTCCATAGAAACCATTATCAGTAGGATGCAAACCCACCTACAGGAGCCAGGTTAATGGTCACAAGCCTTTAGGGAGTAGTCCCTTGTCCTTAACAGTGCCCTACCTGTGGGGGGCTCAGACAGTTGTGTGACTACTGACTGCCTTCAGGGAGTCAGCATCTGACCTCCCACCACATGCTGGCAAATAACCTCTAATGTTTGACATGCCTTTGGGGGAGACAAAGCTGGGGGAAATTCTCTTTATAATCCCACAGTATCAGTTATTGTCTTCATTTTTAAGCTCATAGTAATGCTTTGAGACATAGGCATATTGTCAATTCCATATATATATATCTTTAGTTGATGGTATTTGAACTTTGTAAGGTGACTAATTGAGCTGCTAACCACAAGGTCGACGGTTCAAACTCACCAGTTGTCCTGAGGGAGAAAGAGGAAACTGTCTGCTCCATTAAAGTCCTTGAAACCCAAAGAGGCCATTCTGTTCAGTCCTGCACGACTGCCATGAGCGAGCCCACGCAATGGCATTGAGTTGGCTTTTGGCTTGAGCGCCCCTTGTCTCATGAGAACATTAATTTACTTGATAATTATTTACTCAGCACCCCCTATGCTGTAGTTAAAACCATTTCCCTCTCGTTTTCATAAATCCTGACTGCTTAGCAATGCTCTTTCCTTAAAGTATATTGAAAACTCTACAAGTCTTTTGATAATTGTCTAATTCAAAGTAAACAATTAAATGTAATTAAACTAGCATAACTAAATGACCATATACAGTACAAACTGACCCACAGAAATTGTAAATGAAACGAAAAAACCCTTTGATGTACGGGTAAGAACTGTACGAGATACAGTGATTTAATCTGAACTTGAGCAAATGCAGCACTGGGCAGATCATCCAACTCCTGGTATATGGTAAGCCCAAGTTCAACCCTCATATGATGGAAGTCCAGAGGAGAATAAGACCCATTTAGCCTGCTGGGTCAGTTTACAAAAAAGGCTGGTCACTCGGTTTGCATTTGATGCGTGCAATTCAAAGACCATGACTTCAATTTTCTCTCTGAGTTACACATAAAGTACGCTTTTCAAAGCCCATGAATAAGGAATATCAAGGGAGCTATAATTGTCTTAACTGTATTTCAGCAAAAAGTATTTGGCAAACAGAGCGAATTCCTTGGCGAGAAAGCAGGAACCACCCTGACTAGAGATTAAATGCAGTTTTAAAAGAGAGGATTAGGGGGAAGTCTTTTCGGGAGAGAGCTGGGTTTGGCCCTGCCTGCCTGCCCGCCCGCCTGCACAGCGAATCTTGAGTTGGTGGTTTTCCCGTCATCCACTGTTGTTTTCTCCCTTCTCTCCCAGGAATCTCAGCAAATGCTTGGAAGACTTATTCCCGAGAAACAGATACTTAATGACCAACTAAAACAAGTTCAGCAGAACAGCTTGCATAGTAGGTGTTTTATTTTTAAAGTTGTCTTTTCCTTTTTATTGCTAAGAGCTTCTTCATGTGAAAGATGAGCATTCAGATCTTTTGTTCTTCATTTACTATGTTAAGTTTTTCATATCTTGCCATGTTTTTCTAAACTAGGAGATTCACTTCTTACGGTCAAAAGAGCCCTAGAAGCAAAAGAACTGGCTCGGCAGCAGCTCCGGGACCAGCTGGATGAGGTTGAGAGAGAAACTAGATCAAAGCTGCAGGAGATTGATATTTTCAATAATCAGCTGAAGGTAACCACTCTTTGGTGTGCCTGCGACATGCGTGTCCCACTCTTTAATTTCCCTTAACTGACCAGTTGACTAGTTGACATTTAATCTGAGATAGAAAAATGTATTCTGAGCTTGTCAGCCTCTATGAAAGCCTTAACATTTATAGATGAGAGATAGACAACCCCAATTACATTTTTTCTCTTAAATATAAATATATATATGTATATACATATTTGGCATGGATGAGCAGTCTCAACAAAGTGTTGCTATCTTTAATCTGAATTACACTTTACACCTCTCTACCCCTTTGCTTATTTACACCCACATCAAAGTTAAATTCCAGAAGCTAGGCCCATTAAGCTACATCCTCATTCTAAGCAGACTATTACAAGGAAGAATTATTTTCAGGATTGTGCTTGAATGTAGATCTTTGCTTTGTTATGTGACATTTAAAATTGGTATGGCATGCTGTAGTGATTGCTTTTGTCTCTGGACAGAAGTGGTGTGTGGCTTTTTGTCTGATTAACCTGGAAGCCACAGGGAAATGGGGAGCTCAGAAAGAATGCCCAAGTGGTTAGATCACAGCCTCTTTCCATTTTGACTTAGTTCTAAAACTTCTTATCATCTTAAAAATATGTGTTCTTATAGTGAAAACCAGAATGTAGGCAGCGTAATTCTTATAAACATTGATCATATATTTTAGATTTAAGTAGATATTGAGTGTTTATCAATTATGTTCTTGTAAGAAATTGAGTGTAATACATCCCCGCTCCCATGTGCCCCCCTCCCAAAAAAACCCTCCAAAGGCAAGACACTTTCCTTTTTCAACTTAAACTTCTTTATACTTGATTCTGGCCTATTTAGTTTTTTACACTAGGAAAAGAAAAGTCCTATTTTATATTCCCCAAATTAGCAGAAAAATTTAGAAAGCATAGTTGAGATTCCAGGCCAAACTGTCTAGACATCTACGTTTAAGGTATTTGTACTATTCTTTCAGAGTAAAAGGTACTGACTGTTTCTGCATTGTCCAGTTCTGAGAACGTGCTCTTAGGGGAAATATGGTTCTATCCAACTTGGTGCTTTTATTCACTTACATGCTAAGAGAAGGTGTGTATATTTATTCACACAAACCCACATATGTGTACTATATAATCTATATAGAATTTTATTCTGTGTGATGTGTATTGGCAGTATATCCAAGTTCTCCATCTCTAAAATACCCACAAGAAAATTGTTCACATTTACTCTAGGTATTTGAACAAACTTGATTGTGAGCCTCCTGCACAGTCTTAATCGTCTCTGGGAGTCTACTGTTAGGGATTTAGCTATCTGTGGAACCCAGGCAGTAGTCGTGCTCCTTTGACTAGAACAATGACTCTTCTAAAGAAGGTGCACATGTATAAGATGGTACTCCAATGGGTGAGCTGTGCCAAAGGCCTAGAGAATTGATGGATCGAAGATTTTGGGATTGAATTTTGTGGTGCCATTGCTAAAATTGTCATCTACACTGCCTCTTTAAATGTCTTGGAGTATAAGTGTCCAGCGGCTCATTTTAGCCCCCTTTTCTATAGACAGTGTACAACCATACTTTTTAAAGTCTCTCTAGCACTTTATTTAGTCTCTGTACAAATTGCTCAATGACATCAGTTGCTTTCCTCGCACCATGTCAACAGTCTCCTTTACTGTGCTCTCTGTTTCCCTGCCCAGCGCCCTAGCCTCCTTGTCCTCCATGAGTCCCACTTCGTCTTTGAGAAGCCATTGACCTGTTGGTCTCACCTGATGGTTTTTAAGAAGGACACCAGGAAGAGGGTGATCTGTGTGTCCTTAGTGCCGCTCTGCTATTGCTGAACCAAAAGACAGTCTCATGAGGGCAACTTATGTACAAATATGCTCGGTACAATTGATGTATGGAATGTTATAAGAGCACCCAATAAAATGATTTAATAAAAAGAAAAAGACGATTTCAGGGGTTTGTTCCCTTCAAAGAATAGCTTTGGGCGGCGGGGGTGGGGTGGGGGGTGTCTCTATTCTCTACTGTTCCAGTTAGTCAGCTCTGTTTGTTTGTTTTTAATAAGGATTTAAGTTCTCCATATTTTTCTCCCATTCTGTCCATGACCAGCTCTTACTGCCACACCCAGAACAGTCAGTAGTGACAGCCCGCTACCATCTAGTTCTGTGGGTTTCAAGGTAGATGAGATGATGACTCTTGTAGACTTGTTTTTTCTCTGTTTTTAGTCTCATTCTTTTGCTTCTGGAAATTTAAGACCCTTAGCTTTTTAGAGCTCAGAGGCTGCATACTTCAAGAGGATGCAGATCATTTTGTGAACTACAGTATCTGAATTGACTGAGTTGTCCCATGAGAGAGAGAGATGTGATTCTAAGCCCTCACCCTAGAAGAACAGTAGATGTGTCTATTAATTTCTATCTTTTAAATTATTGTTTGATTTTTCCATTAAATTTAAGTTTCGACTTCATATAGTGAGTGAAAACATCACAAGCCAGTGTGGTGACGCCGTTTTGCTGTTTAACACCCCCGTTTGGAAAACTTAGTAACTGCTTTGCTACCTGGTGGTGAAAACAGATGCCAATTGAAAAATCTAGAGATTTTTAATCTGATTAAAACAGCACAGATCTGGATGTAGTCACTTGTCTCTTGCCCACTTTCTTCATTGAACTTTGTTCTGGCTTTAACAGATGTATTCGTTATCAACTATCATTTCCTGTGTGATGAGATCAGCAAGGAAGGACCAGCTTCGGCCCCTTGGGATTTATTGGATTTCTCTCTTGATACAACAGTGTTTTTACAGTACCCACACTAATGATGCAAAGATTACTGCTACCTTGCAGGGAGTGAAACCCTGGCAGTTGTCCAATCATCCCACACATCTCATCTGATGGTGTGAATTTGCTTTATCCTAAACAGCCCTCCCCCGAAAGGAAACCAGCTGGAGAGGGTAGAAGAGAAGTGATGATTTAGATTTAGCAGTTGTGTTTTCCGTTCGTTGGTGTAGCTTGCTCATCTTGGGAAAGGAGAGTGGAGTTGATTCATTATAGACTAGTAGAGTGGTGCTGGAGAAGGGCTGTGGAGGAGGGCGAAGTTTTAAGTTAGTTGACCAGGACACCTTTACCTATGTTATATTCCTGGCTCCCCAAATGAGAATTATATCTAGTAAAAACCAACTCTTCTGTTTCTTCAGCTCAAAACAAAAAGCTGCTTGTAATAAGTTACTCATTTTTGATGCATGCTTGAGTCCCTTAAGTAGAAAGGTCAATCCACAGCATCAAGTCTCCTCACAGTGACCTGAGAGGGCAGAGGAGAATTCCCCCATAGAGTTTCTGAGACAAAATCTTTGCAAAAGCAGGCAGCCATCTCTTTCTCCAGTAATGGGTTTGAAACATCAGCCTTTCAGGTCACGGCCTATGCGTAACCCGTTGTGAAATCAGAGCTCCCATAAAGGTCTTGTAAGGCATAATAATAGCACCCTCAAACCCAAACCAAACTGCTCGCCATCAAGTCGGCGCGACTCTTAGCGACCCGGACAGAGCAGAACCCCCGAGACTGTAATTCTTTACAGTAGTACAGCGCCCCTCTCTGTAACACTCCCCCCACCAAGGCTCCTGGTTTACCCCAAATTCTGTGGTATGGGGCAGAATTACGAAGTAGATGTGTATTTATAGTTTCTTGAAAGCTTTGAAGAGGAAACATTTTGCAGTTTTCTTCAGTCTAATAGCATACGGTCTGATTTAGTTCTTCCCACCAAAATGTGTAGTCTAGATTTATTCTTCTTTTGACAGTCTTTCCCATTAGAAAGATGTAATTCTGCAAGAGTTATACCCTGCCTCCCCCACCTAAAATTCGATAACCAAAGACAGAAATCCTGACGTCAGTACTTACAGAGGAAGACAGTTAATTTGGCAGTCAGGTAATTTATTTCATATCGGCCACCTTTTGTCGAATGGGTCAGGAGCCCTAGTGGTTTGAGCCTCGCATTCACTGGGTTGTTAACCACAAGGTGGGTTGTGACCCACCTGCTCTTCCATCAGCGGAAAACGAAGCCGTCTGTTCCCATGAAGAAATACTCTGCAGGTAGACTTACTGTGATTTGCAGTAGACTCAGTGGCAGTGGGTTTTTGTTTTTTCTTAAGTAGTTTTTAATTCAATGTATCAAATTTGTTTACCATGATTTCTTGCTCTTAACATAGGTTCTATACCCAACAATTGTTTTATCATGCAGAAAAGTCACTAGTCTTCCCATTTATGTTCCAGAAATATCAAATTGAAGTTTTTATTTGTGATACTCTCTTTATACCTCATTTTAACTGGTATCAACACGTTTAAACGTTTCCTGGAGAATTGCTAAAGGGTACATAGAGAGTCATCATTATTTGTCTTAAGATTGTGTTTATATACAGTTATACAATTATTGTTTTAAGCATTATTGACGGCAACTTTCAGGACCAGGGATGGAGAACCTTTCCTCTGCTTAGGGCCATTTGGATATTTATGACAACATTCGTGGGCCATACAAAATTATCAAATTAGCCTGCTACATTTGGTCAAGTATATATAACCTGCTGTATTATGTCAATCATTTAATTAGCTCACCCCCAGTGTGATGGCTAGAACTATCTTCTGGTGAGGTGTGTGATGTTAGCTGATATTGATGATTTTGTGGGCCTTAGGAGCCCTGGTGACATAGTGGCTACGTATTGGGCTGCTAACTGTGTGAACAGTTTGGAATCATCAGCTGCTCCTGGAGAAAAAGAGTGCTTTCTATTCTGGTGAAGTTAACGTCTCAGAAACCCCAGGGGACAGTCCTGCCCTGTCTTACATAGGATTGCCCTGTGCTAGTGTCTCACAACTCTCTCTCATGGGAGTGAGTTGCACTGAGCCATTTGTACTGCTTTATAATTTAACTGTTCATTTCTTGTAATATATATCTATCCGTATATAATTTAACAGTTCATTTCTTGTGTTATATATCTCATTATCTTTATAAATAAATATATTAAATTATCAG